ACGGGGTGGGGGGGGGCACGAGGTGAGTCACAAAGGTCATGGTTCATGGCCTATTCCCTGTCATGGGATCAAGGGTTAGGGGAGAAGCTCACCCAGATTCTGAAGGAAGCTCTGGCCTTGTTATCCAGAATCAGGGTTTAACTTTGGTGGATCTTTCTGTGAAATGTGGAGCCAGAGCCATGTCTTGGGTGATGCCCACTTGGCGCCACTTCCCGCCTATGGGCCTTTATAAGTGACTACTAGTGGTGGAAGGAAGGTGAGTTATCATAATTTACTAAAAGAGTGAGGTCTTTCTTCATATTCCACAGAAGGATAACATCTGCTCACTCACCTTTCACACATCTGCGTGGAGCTGAAGTGCTTGTCCTCTTTAGCTGATTTCACCTTTGCACAGATATTGCGGGAGGTGATGATGATATTTCCCGGACCTCATCTTTAACTGATGGTTCAGGGACCCCAAGAGGAGTGGAAAGGGGCGTACCCCCCATAATGCCGAGTGCTGATCACTCTCTCTTACAGGTCTCCTGCACTGACTCCTGAAGGTATATCATTGTACTTGGTTTTCTCTCCTCTGAAATGGGTGCCGATCTTTGCCCAGAGTTCCGGTTGCCTGTTAACCTGTTCATCTCTGAGATCAAGCCCTACAGTCACCCTGACAGTCCTCAGGTCACCTTGTGTGACCCTCACCCCAAGAATGCTGCCTCCTGCACTGACTTCAGAGTCTCTCCCTATTCCTGCCAAAGTGTTTTTCTATTTCCATTCTCTCCCCACAGACTGTTCAAGAAAAGCATGTTGAACTCAATTACCTACCTACAGAGCTTTTTTATCATAACTAAATGTATTTTGAGTTATCTGTATCCTGAACCTCCTTAAATGAGCAGAGGTAGGAAGCCACTCCAGAATGAAAGCAACATATTTTGAGGTGACCCAGCCAGCCTGGGACCAGACGGAGGGGTTTTTCCTTGAAAGGAAACTAGAAGCATCTTGGGGACAGAAAATAATTTCAATCATCACATCCTTCATGATTCTTTAGTATTGATGTTGAGTGCAGTGGCCTTAGAACTGCTGCCTCTCTTCCAGTTTGGGGAGAATTCTGTAAGTAAGCATGTGGAATTGTTGCATTCTGATACAGTGACCTCTGGTCACTGATGTTTCAAATACATCCTGGCAAGTCACATTGGCCAAGGTCTATTTTTATTTCTGAGAAAGTATAATAAGCAATAAAAGTACTATTTTTGGTTTTAAATGATAGAAATCCAACACAAATTTACTTTGTTCATGTTACCTGGGGTCAAGTTGACTTCAGAAGAGACAAGGTCCCTCAGGAGTTCGACCAGGAAACCAGGAGTTTGGTTGCTCGCTATGATGTGCACTGACCACTAGAGGGTGGTGCAGAATGAAGGAAGGCCCTGGCCAGCAGCCAGAAGGATCCGATCGGCCCTGATCGCTGGCCAGGTGTAAGGACCGTTCCTGTGCATGAATTTTGTGCACTAGGCCTCTAGTTTAAAAATAAATGGCACCATGGACCTGGCGCTGACAAACCAACACTCGTCTTCTTCCAAGTGGGACACAGGCCCCGCCACCAGCCTGGAGCGACACCCCACCAAATTGCAGCCAACACTGCCAAGAACCCATGGTGCAAAATGTGGCCCACAGCCCAGCCCAGCCTGGAAACAGTTGCATGGGCGCAAGGTAATGACATCACATAGATACACCCAGCTTCCTCTCCCTAGCAATTAGCCTCCTTGCAGTTTCTTTAGCCCAGGAACCCGATTTGCTTTACAGCCAGGTGCAAACATTTTACAATTTAACCAAATGTTTGTGAAGCATTTTCCCATGCTTCATTTCATTTGATCCTCACAGAAGTCCTCGAGTAGGTAGATAGGAGACTTGGTAGAATCCTATTTTCTTTTCATCAGCCAGAAAATGGAGATTTAGAAAGTTTAGAAACTTGACCTGACTGAAAAGAAGTAAGAAATGGTGAACCTTGAAAATCACTTCAGGTTTTCTCACTGCGCAGAATATAGTCAAACACAGTTAAATATCTTACCCTTTGTTCTCCCTGTGATCTATAATAATAATCTGCTTCGTGTTGATATTTACTGCTGTGTTGCTGATAATTACCTGAAAGAGAAGTTGGGGTGATTCACTGGGCTGGAAAAAGTTTATCTAAATCAGAAAGCAGGTCTAATTAAGCAAGTTTATCTATATCTATAAAAGGCTAAGTTGACTCCTGCATGTGTGATACATATAAAGCTCTTGCTGGCGCCAACTGCACATGTGTGTTTCAATCTGCTGTTGTTGATCATGAATTTGGTTGACACTTCTATTATAGAGAAAGGGCGAATAGTGATTTTAAAATATTTCTTCTAATGAATTTTCTTTCAGTGTGCACGAATTCATGCACCAGGACACTAGTTAATAAATAAAAACTTGTTCTATATGAGAACAGCAGGACACTTGGTAAGTAAATCTGATTAAAAAAACCTTCAGGTTTGAAGTTTCAGCTGAATCATGAAGCCATCTGCACATGACTGAATCCACTGTAGTCAAAAGCACTGTGCTTTAGTCTGAGTTGTTAGACCTGTTTCCATTTCCCTGCATCCACACATTCCATAGCATGAAATTGGTGAAATAAAAAGGGGGAAGAATGGAAAAGGAAGAAAATACACAAGGATGTTTGTCTTTATTTAAGTAGTTTAAGAAGTTTGATCTAATCTTGGGGTCATAAGAAATTTACTTCAGAAATTAGTCTTTCTTTATATTTTATTGAGAGATAGCTGACAAATAAAAATTGTATAAATTTAGTATGGAACTCTCAAGATCCATCCATGTTGTGGCAAATGGCAATATTTCATCACCTTTTATGGCTGAGAAGTATTACATAGTATGTATGTACCACCTCTTCTTTATCCAGTCATCCATTGAAGGACACTTGCCTTTTTCCATGTCTTGGCCATTGTGAATGATGCTGCAATGAGGTGTACAACATGAGACTTCATTTTGAAAACCAATGCTTCACCATAACATTAAATAGAGAATATAAGATAAGAAGGGAAGGCAGTTGCTGAATGTCAAGTATAGAGAAGAGAGGTTTGGTTTTTACTTACAAAAATATTTTCCATCATACACAAAAGTAGAGAGAATAGTATAATGAACCCTCATGTACTCATCACCCATCTTCAACAAAACGGAGAAGATAGTTTACTTTTTAAAAAAAGAAAAGTCCTCACTTGAGGATGTTTTTTATTGATTCTAGAGAGAGAGGAAGGAAGAAGGAGCAAGTGAGAGAGAAAAATTGATCAGTTGCCTCATGCACATGCCCCCACCGAGATAAAACCCACAACCTGGGTATGTGCCCTGACGGAAATCAAGCCCGTGACCCTTTGGTGCATGGGAGGATACTCTAAACCCCAAGCAACACTGGCCAGGGCAAGAGAGTTTACTTTTTAGTATAAATTCTATCTATCAAAAATTTTATGCTGTCTTAAAACAGAAAATCCAAGAAATTTTAACCTATGGTGCAAAGTGAATAGAGTCTTCTAGATCTAAGCTCCTTTAGTTGGCTTAGGATTCTTTTAGAGGAAAAAGGAGAAATATCCCCCAAAATGGTGTATAGAATCTGAAGGACTTTAGGGCTTTAAATTAAGCAAGTGCCTCATGTGGTCTGTACTTGCAAAGGTGACTGGGGTGAGACTTGTAGTAAACCTGTAGCTAGTTGAAGGATCAGAAGGAGGAAAAGCAAAAGGGGAAAAGGGAATGTGGGGAACAGGTGGAAGAAAAGGAACTGGGAGGAGAGGGAGAGAGAGAGAGAGAGAGAGAGAGGAGAGAGAGAGAGCGAAGAAGAAGAAGAAGAAGAAGAAGAAGAAGAAGAAGAAGAAGAAGAAGAAGAAGAAGGGAAGAAGAGAAGAGAAGAGAAGAGAAGAGAAGAGAAGAGAAGAGAAGAGAAGAGAAGAGAAGAGAAGAGAAGAGAAGAGAAGAGAAGAGAAGAGAAGAGAAGAGAAGAGAAGAGAAGAGAAGAGAAGAGAAGAGAAGAGAAGAGAAGAGAAGAGAAGAGAAGAGAAGAGAAAGGGAGAACAAATTATATGATGTAAAATGATAGGAAGTATTCCACAAAGGGCATGAACTTTAGAATTTAGTCCCCGGTCTATCACTAATTATTGCTGTGTCTGTGAGTGTATCTCTGAATCTCTCTAAGCCTAGTTTCATCATCTGCAAAATAGTGCTAATAATACTTATCTGGAAGGGATATTGTCAGTATCAATTTAATGAAATATAGTAGTCCCCCTTATCCACAGTTCAGCTTTCTGTAACTGCAACCACTGACTGTTGACTGCAGTCCAAAAATATTAAATGGAAAATTCCAGAAATAAACAATTCATAAATTTTAAATTGCATGCCATTCTAAGTAGTATGATAAGCTCACACACTGTGTGCCCCTCGGAGAAGGGTGGACTGCTGTTATGTGTGTAAAAAATAATTCTTGTAAGACAATGAGAAAAATTGAATACTGACTGTACTAAGGAATTATTTATCTAATTTTAGGTGTGGTATGATGTTATGTTTCTAAATAGTCATTATATTTTAGATTTCATAATTAAATATTTAAGTAAAAGGTGAAAGGTTTATGCGATCTGAAGAGCAACCAGAGTATTTTCTAAATATCCAGTGTGCACGTAAGATTAAGTGAATAGGTTTACAAAATTTCCCATGAATTGATCATTGTTAAAGCTGGACTGTTGATAAATGGATCTATTCTCACTCTACTGTATGTAGTTGAAATTTTCCATAACGCTAGTTTGTAGTTTGTTTGTTTTTAAGTGTTCCATGAAAGACGAAAATAGGCACAGAAGCATTCAACTTGAAGTTATGATAGTTTTTAAAGTTCTCTCTCTCTCTCTCTCTCTCTCTCTCTCTCAGATATTTTTATTGATTTTAGAGAGGAAGGTAGAGGGAGAGAGAGATAGAAACATCAATGACGAGAGAGAATCATTTATTGACTGCTTCCTGCATGCCCCCTACTAGGGATTGAGACCACAACCAAGGCATGTGCCCTTGACCAGAATTGAACCCGGGACCCTTCAGTCCACAGGCCAATGCTTTATTCACAGAGCCAAACAAACTAGGGCAACATTAGTTACATTTTAAGTGCTCACCTAGCCACATGTAGCTAGTGGCTACCACACTGGACAGAGTGTGGCTAGTGGCTACTACACTGGATAGAGCTCTCTCTCTTTTAAAATCATACTTAGAAAACCCTGAGTATCCAAATGCCACTCTGGGCTGTAAGACTGAGAAATGTAACCCTAAATATTATATATACAACAAGAAATGATAGCAAAAGACAGCAATGTTCCCTTTATTATTGACTGTATTAAGCCCCAAATTTAATTAATATATTTTCTAATTTAAAAAACAATGCAAAAATGGTGATTGAGCCCTGGCCAGTGTGGATCAGTGGCTGTAGTGTCAGCCTGCGAACTGAAGGGTTGTTGGTTTGATTCCCTATCAAGGGCAAGTATCTGGGTTGCAGGTTCAATTCCCTACCTGGTTGGGGGCATGCAGGAGGCAGCTAATTGATGTGTCTCTTTTGCATCCATGTTTCTCTCTCTCTCTCTCTCTCTCTCTCTCTCTCTCTCTCTCTCTCTCTTCCTCCCTTCCACTCTCTCTACATAATCAATGGTAAAAGTATCCTCAGGTGAGGATTAACAACAACAAATTGGTCATTGAGTACAAGTGGGTGATACATATCAACTAATTTCTGAGTGTATTAAAGTAATGTGAAAACAGATATTTTCATTGTCTTCAAGAAATACATACATGTGCATGCATATAAACATAACCAATGGACACAAGACACTGGGGGGGGGGTAGGGGAGGCAGGGGGAAAGTCAAGGGGGTAAAAAAAGGAGACATATGTAATACTCTTTGTAATACCTTAAGCAATAAAAAAAACAAAATTAAAAAAATACATACATGGGAAATAATTCCACAAACATAATTACAAACTCTGAATACTGTATGAAGGAAAAGGACAAGGTAACATGAGAGAGGAACCAGGGACCAGCTATAGTTTGGTAAAATTTAGAGGAGGGTTGAAGAAATGTATCTTCCAATGGAATAAAATGGTACATAGCATGTGAAAGACAAGGTTAAAGGGGGAAGAGCAAATGTTTGAAAAAATCTTGCATTATGAAAGAGATCAGAATAAAATACAATGAAAATGATCACAAATTTAGTAGAAAAAGTTCATTTAAGAGCAAACAAGTTATTAAAGTTTTTCTAATTATAATTCTTAGAATTGTAAAGATATTGCATGTATAGAAGTACTAAGGGGCTAGAAATTGAAAAATTTAATAGCAAG